TTGATCTCTGTAGGTCAGCTTGATTCATCTAGAAGTATGCTCCTTAAGCTAAGGAAAAACTTTTCCAAAATTAACTTTCGTAGACTTCTCTTCATCCACCTGGACCACATTGAATGTTTACATGCCTGAAAAAAAAAAAAAAGCAAAAAGCAAAAAACCCAACACTAGTCACCATGATTGTCTTAGTTCATTTAAAATTTCTTTCTTGAAAGTGAAGGAGAGGCTGGCTGGCCTGGAGCAAAAATACATGGAGAACATTCCATAGTGAAATCAGGATTGTGAGGGAAGAGGCAATGTGGCCATAGGATAGGCAACTTTCAATGTTTTGGGGTTTTTTTTGGTCAGTCGTGAGGCTTTAATTCTGGGCCTGGATGCTGTCCCTGAGCTTTTCAGCTCAAGGAAAGTGCTCCACCACTTGAGCCACAGCCACTGATTTTCTGGTAGTTAATTGGAAATAAAAGTCTCATGGACTCTCCTGCCCTGGCTGGCTTTGAACTGCGATCCTCAGAGCTCAGCCTCCTGAATAGCTAGGATTACAGGCATGAGCCACGGGTGTCTGGCCAACTTTCAGTGTTTTCTATAATATCATTCTCCATCTTAATCAGGCTAGCTCAGTAAATAACACTCTATCTAATCAGTGGTGCCCAAACCTGGAAATCATATTCAAATTTCCATCTCATGAAGTGGCTCTGTGGCTCAAGCAGTAGAGCGCTTGCCTTGAGCTGAAGAGCACAGGGACAGCGCCCAAGCCCAGAGTTCAAGCCCCACGACTGACCAAAAAAGAAACAAACCAAAACCAAAACAAATCAAATTTTCATCTCACTCCTCTCCTCTCTGTCCAATCAGTGATCAGCTCCACCAATTCCATCTTGAACCTAGTTCTTGTTGGTTCTTTTGCACCCCCCCCACCTCCAAGTCCAGGCCACATCCACCATTTTGTTTTTTGGTGGTACTAGGGTTTTATCTCAGAGATCTGTGTTTGTTAGGCAGGCACTCTAGCACTTGTACCAGGCCTGTAGCCCAGAACCATCATTTTCATCATTGGTCTCTCCACCTCTGGTCTTGCTAAACCTCAATGCAGGCTCTAAGTTGCTCACAGAGCTTCTTTCTAAAGCCATTTGGGTTAAGTAATTTTCGTGTTAAAAATGCGTCTTAGCCAGGTGCTGGTGGCTCATGCCTATAATCCTAGCTACTCAGAAGGCTGAAATCTGAGGATCATGTTTCAAAAACCAACCCAGGTAAGAGAATCTGTGAGACCCTTATCTCCAATTACCCACCAGGAAACCAGAACTGACGCTGTGGCTCAAAGTGGAAGAATATTTGTCTTGAGCAAAAGAGCTCAAGGACAGCATCCAGGCCCCAAGTTCAAGGCCCACAACTGACAAAAGAAACAACAAAACTCTTCTTAGGTTTCCCTTTGTTCTTCAGGAAAAGTTCTGATCCCAGGCCATGTCTTCCCAGGGCCCCTTCATTTGATCTGAACTGCATATCTCGTTTCATCTCTTACTAATTTTTTTTTTGGGGGGGGCCAGTCGTGGG